CCAATTTTTAAATTGCTAACTTGTACATACATATCAGATGCCTCATTTATAGCATAAAATGATACTTGAATGTTGGTATTTGAAATTGGGATGTATTTCATTTATTTCTTAGTCTCTTCTTTTAGTTCTTATAGTCTTTAGTAAATTAATCCATTTGAGTTCAGGTAAGAGACTTCTAATACCATGTAGAATGAAAATAGGGCTTTCCTGGTGGCTCAATTGGTAAAAAGTCTGCCTGCAATGCAGGAGACCCAGGTTCAATCTTGGGATGGGAAGATCCCCTGGAGAAAGAAATGGCAACCCACCTCAGTATTCTTGTCTGGATAGCCGATGAACAGAGGAGACTGGCAGGCTGTAGTCCATGGGGTCATAAAGAGTCGGGCACAACTTAGCAACTAAACCACCACCAGCATAAAAATATGAGGGAAAAAAGAAAGAAAGTAGAAGTGTTTTTCAGGTGTTCAATGCTTAAACATTTTGCAGAGTCGACAGTTGTTATTACCAAACTTCAGACAGCATTCTTTTTGGCCTTAGGAAGAATGTCCTTAATTTGGTATGTTTATTCTCAATGACAGAGGATGAGATGGTTGGATGGCATCACCAACTCTATGGACATGAGTTTGAGCAAGCTCCAGAAGTTGGTGATGGACAGGGAAGGCTGGCATGCTACAGTCCATGAGATCGCAAAGAGTTGGACATAACTGAGCCACTGAACTAACTGATGCTCAGAAAAATTAAGCAAGTCTGAAGTACCAGACCCAGTTCAAGGATGGTCCAAGCATTCAATATTTAGGCATTCATTCACTCAGGTGTCTCATTCATTCATTTGTTCACTCAGTAAACATTTGCTAAGTGCCAGAATTACAAAAATGGATACACCTGTTCTTTGTTCACAAGGGATGTGTTACAATCCAGTTGACAAATGTTCATAAAGAATTTTAACATATTCAATAGGCCCTCCTTCCTCCTGTCTCTCCCTTTAGGTTTCAAAGATATTCCTACTTTGTAAGCAGTGTTTCTTTTTTCTTTATGTAATTAACTAGGAAGTTACAAAAGGAAATAAAAGAGGACTTAAAAAAGAGATTAAGCATCTTATAAGAGGTAGATTCAGATGCATTTTCACAGCTAAATGTTTTAATATGTTTTATGTATTTTCCAAATAAATTTAAAAGGTTGTTCTAGAACAATGATTTTTAATATAATCCTGAAAAAAACAAGCCTTCATCATGTGTTAGAAATTAATAGTACAGTTTATTTAATTGTGTCTTGCTAATAATTTATTGATGTGTTAGTTGGTCAGTTGTATCAGACTCTCTGCGACCCCATGGACTGTAGCCCACCAGGCTCCTCTGTCCATGGGATTTTCCGGGCAAGAATACTGGAGTGGGTAGCCATTCCCTTCTTCAGGGGATCTTCCTGACCCAGGGATCAAATCCAGGTCTCCTGCTTTCCAGGTGGATTCTCTACTGTCTGAGCCACCAGGGAAGGACCCTAATTTATTGATAATACTTATTAAAAAATAAAAAAACAGTCATTTGTTGTTTCTAGAGAAGATCTAGTGAGAATGTCCTTCAGGAATTCGATTAACTTCTCAGAAAAGCTTTCCCTGGGTTGTATTTCAATGTGATTATCTCTGCCTATGACCTGGCCCATAAATAACCACGCTGCTGCTTCTGCTGCTGCTAAGTCGTTTCAGTCGTGTACGACTCTGTGTGACCCCATAGACGGCAGCCCACTGGGCTCCTCTGTCCCTGGGATTCTCCAGGCAAGAACACTGGAGTGGGTTGCCACTTCCTTCTCCAATGCATGAAAGTGAAAAGTGAAAGTGAAGTCGCTCAGTCATATCCGACTCTTCGTGACCCCATGGACTATAGCCTACCAGGCTCCTCCGTCCATGGGATTTTCCAGGCATAAATAACTATAAATAACTCTGAATGGAATTATTTATTATAAAAAATTGGCAAGAACTTTGATTATCAGCACATCCTCTTTGTCAAAATGTCTGCATAAGAAGGCAAATGAATACCTCCTGGTTGGTTGGTGAGCATGGAAATCAGGGTGGGAGGTGGGGAGGTGTTTAACCGGAGGTCTTACCAGTGAGGGTGTTGATCTCTGATCACTGAAGCCATCTGACCTGTAGACCCAGACCAGAAGCAGGACAGCATGCTCATCCCATCAGACCAGATGCCCCTGGACACTGCTGAAGATGTGCTGATAACCACTGGTCCATGGATCACCTCCTGCTTTATTCCTCAGTCTTTCCATAGACAAGGACCTCACACAATTGTTATATTTGGATTCCTGAGTCACAGCCAGATCCTCTCTTCCTTCTTCCATGAAAAACAGTGAAGTGAAAGTGTTAGTTGCTCAGTCATGTCCTACTCTTTGCCACCCCATGGACTGTAGCTTACCAGCCTCCTCTGAAAATGGGATTTCTGAGGCAAGAATACTGAAGTGGGTTACCATTTCTGTTTCCAGGAGATCTTCCCACCCAGGGACTGAACCCAGGTCTCTTGCATTGAATGCAGATTCTTTACCACACAGAGCCACCAGGGAAACCCTTCCTCCATGAGATTGCATCAAAGCTCCTTGAGTGGAGCTTTTTGGATGCACTTAGAATTCTCCAGTTATATGTCTACACAGTTCTCTTGTTTTCTTTCTCCAGTTCTTCCCATTCACGATGAGTGGACTTTACAAGTTTTATTTCTCTTTTTTCTGAGTTCCTCAGGGAGTATCTCATTATTGTCTCCATTGGTATTAATGACTAGTATTAATTTATATTAATGACAACTAGACCAGGATATTATCAACAAAACCATTTCATTATCAACATTATCAACAAAAACATTTCTGTACATTAATCCTGGAGAAGCTGCTTCTTCCAAAATAAGCAGGCCCAAGTTCAATAGATCAGCCTCAGGTCATGTTTGCCTAGCAGTAAGGTGCTAACTAAATGTTTGCACCAGCAAAGATGTTACATTTGTACATGGTATTTTGCAGAAGCTGTTATCCAGGACTCAGGACAAACAAACATCACCAGTTCACAGAAGCATCAAATACTGAACCACCAAAGGAATGCTATATACATCTCTAAAATGACAAATTCACTAAATTACTTTAAAAAAATTGGCTATCTGTAAGGCAGATATCAATTCTTGTGTTGCTGAAGTAGGACCAAGTTGATTTTTAATGAATTGTCATGTCTTGTCTTTTTGAATTTCACATATGGTACGTGATGCAAATGCTAAACCATCACACAAATACTGAAGCCTACCACACACTTGTTCCAGGAATGGCCTTTCCCACTTATTTTATGACCTAGATTTTCTCTTTTAATAGGAGTAGAGTGGTAGGGTTACAGGTAGCTCATGGGAAACTACATCTTCAAGTGTTTCACCTGCATCCACACACACCCACCACAGCTCTTCAAAGCAATGTGTGAGTGCCTGACTTTATGGTCATTTACACCCTTGCACAAAAGGTCTAGATTCACAATACACAAATGCCGTGCAGCACTCCCAAACCCAATCCCTACAAATTGTAGAGGTTGTTATTCAAAACAGTTGTTTGGTAAATTAGTAACTGTGATGACACCAGTACATTCACGGCCAATGGTTGGTTTGATTTCATCACTCATTGTAACATAAAGGTATTCATATCCACTGATTCCTTCTTAGCAACTTAAGCAATCACATTGTCATAAAAGTTGCTCTTTATCTTTTTGTTCCTCCTGTTCTCATGTAAACTGCTCCACATCTAGAGAGCAAAGGTTGATTTGCTGAAGGCAACACCGTGGATATTTCTGTTGAGAAACTGGAATTACATCTCCTCTCTAGGACTGCTCTAATTCTCATCTTTGGTGTTCTTCCTTTACTGATTACTTCTACATTCCAGAAATTCTCTTAGTAACAGATGTGCGGCTTAGCAACTTGTCGTAATTAAGTAATGTGCCTTAGTAACTTGACACGTGCAGCTCCAGAATGATTCTTATGTCATGGTTACTTTATCTCCTCTTTTGATTGGAAATTCCTTCTTCCCATCACGCGTCAGTGGCTCTAGGTAGCCTATCATGGTGACACAATCCCTTTCTGTAAAACTGTATGTCAGGTTATATGATTAACTTAATGTATAACTAGTCATCACCTTAAAATCATGTCCTTTAAAAATGCTATTTTTGGACATGGAAGCAACCTAGATGCCCATCAGCAGACAAATGGATAAGGAAGCTGTGGTACATATACACCATGGAATATTATTCAGTCATTAAAAATAATTCATTTGAATCAGTTCTAATGAGATGGATGAAACTGGAGCCCATTATACAGAGTAAAGTAAGCCAGAAAGATAAAGACCATTACAGTATACTAACACATATATATGGAATTTAGAAAGATGGTAATGATAACCCTATACGCAAAACAGAAAAAGAGACACAGATGTACAGAACAGACTCCTGAACTCTGTGGGAGAAGGCGAGGGTGGGATGTTTCGAGAGAACAACATTGAAACTTGTATATTACCTAGGGTGAAACAGATCACCAGCCCAGATTGGATGCATGAGACAAGTCCTCGGGCCTGGTACACTGGGAAGACCCAGAGGGATCGGGTGGAGAGGGAGGTGGGAGGGGGGATCGGGATGGGGAACACATGTAAATCCATGGCTGATTCATGTCAATGTATGACAAAACCCACTACAATATCATAAAGTAATTAGCCTCCAACTAATAAAAATAAATGAAAAAAATAAAAATACTATTTTTAAAAATAATGTCTAGAGGTTTTCAACAATTCTGTCCTAAGTGATCCCATTTTATCATTTTCACAGTGAAATGGGAGAAAACCAGACAATAGTTACAGAGTTCATTCTACTGGGACTTTGTCTTGGCCCAAGGATTCAGATGCTCCTCTTTGGGCTCTTCTCCCTGTTCTATCTCCTCACCCTGCTGGGGAACGGATTCATCCTGGGGCTCATCTCACTGGACTCCAGGCTGCACACCCCCATGTACTTCTTCCTCTCACACCTGGCCATTGTTGACATGGCCTATGCCTGCAACACGGTGCCCCAGATGCTGGTCAACCTCCTGAGCCCAGCCAAGCCCATCTCCTTTGCTGGCTGCATCACACAGACCTTTCTCTTCTTGAGTTTCGCCCACACTGAGTGTCTTCTCCTGGTGGTGATGTCCTATGATCGGTATGTGGCCATCTGCCACCCCCTCCGATATTCTGTCCTTGTGAGCTGGAGAGTCGGCATCAGCCTGGACATGTGCCTCCCTCCTGGCCCTGGTCCATGTGGGTCTCGTCCTGAGGCTGCCCTTCTGTGGGCCTCACGAAATCAACCACTTCTTCTGTGAAATCCTGTCTGTCCTCAAGCTGGCCTGTGCTGACACCAGGCTCAACCAAGTGGTCATCTTTGCTGCTTCCGTGTTGGTCTTGGTCGGGCCCCTCAGCCTGGTGCTGCTATCCTACGCGCGCATCCTGGCCGCCATCCTGAGGATCCAGTCAGGTGAGGGCCGCGGAAAGGCCTTCTCCACCTGCTCCTCCCACCTCTGCGTGGTCGGGCTCTTCTTTGGCAGTGCCATCGTCATGTACATGGCCCCCACGTCCCGCCACCCTGAGGAGCAGCAGAAGATCCTTTTTCTGTTTTACAGTTTCTTCAACCCCATGCTGAACCCGCTGATCTACAGCCTGAGGAATGCAAAGGTCAAGGGTGCCCTGAGGAGAGCACTGTTCATGGAGAGCCATTTCCTGTTGGAGTGACATTTGAATCAGTCCCCCTGCCTCAGGAGTTTACTTGGAACTTTGGTACTGAGTATCTACCAAAGCTCATCACTCTGTGTCTCCAAGACTAAGTCATCCAAGACACTCTCTAAAGCAGAGTCTTTTCCTCCCCATAAATTATTTAGGTTTTGCTGCATTCATTATATTTAATTCTATCAACCATATTTAGTTTTTCATTTAACTACTTGGTGAATTAAGATGATCCAGAGGCGAAAAAAAATTATTTTGTCCACTGCCAAGGATCCCAAAATGTTAAAATTGACACTCTACCTCTGACTTCACTGGGTGTGTACAATAATAGCAGAACAACAGGCATTAGTGATATAACCACATTCATAACAATTTTTAAAAATACTGTCGCTACAGGCAGAGACCCAGAATCTATGAATAACTTTGTCCCTTTTCATCCCACATGTGGATGTTTCCTCTCATTTGTAAATTCTCTTATAAATAGTGAAGTGTAGTTTGTCAGTCATGTACGACTCTGCAACCCCATTGACTGTAGCCCACCAGGCTCCTCCGTCCATGGAATTTTCCAGGCAAGAGTACTGGAGTGGGTTGCTATTTCCTTCTCCAGGGGATCTTCCAAATCCAGGGATCAAACCCAGTTCTCCCGCATCACAGGCAGACACTTTACCCTCTGAGCCACCAGGGAAGCTGTACTTAAATGCCTACTTAGACTTAGGGGAAATTGATTTTGTTGACTAAATCCTGTAATCAGCCTTACAATTTCTGTAATCAGAATGTGAGTCTCACATATCACTGGCATCCCAGGGAACTGCCCGACAAAACCCATTGTCCAGTCTGCTTGGTCTTTTGATGGCCACTTGTTTCCAAACTCTCCTCATCTTCTCAAGAAAATATCTAAGATTCTCTCTGAATAGACATACACTCTTCACCAAGGAGGAGTTAGCAAGTGCTGCAGCCCAACTTTCAATTGCTGGATGTGAATGGAGAGCCTTACACAGAGGCAACTGAATGGAAAAAGCGGTGTAATAAAAATAGTTAACTGTAGTATTAAGTACTCTATGCCACCTGCTTCACATTGATAGACACTTGATAGAGGTCATCTCCTTCCATCATCATAACAAGTGCATTTTTCATTATCATCCCATTTTATAGATGCAAACATTAAGGCAATGGAAAATGTGAGATTCATATCCCAACAATATGATTCTTAAGGCTTTTCTACTAATAGGACAATGTAGTGCCTCACTGTCAGAGTTATTTTAAAAAAATTTAAGAATAAGGTGAATCTATCCCAACATAGGATATGTTGGGAGGCTTTGTGTTTCTTCTCAGTCTGATGTGTGCCACGGTGAATTTCGGAGAGCTAGGTATTATTTATTGAAGGCTTCGGTCAGAGAGTTCTGTGGGCATGGCTGCTAAGGATGTTCAGAATTTTGTAGCAACACAAAGAGGGTGGGAACGGAGGCTGTCGAGATTAGAAGTTTGGTTTGGACCTGCGTGGTGTTAAGACCCAGAATGAGGACATTTCTAGTGTCACATACACGACTCACGTGTTCATACACATGTGTGTGCATGAATGCACACATATTTACTGAGTGTTCACTATGGTGAGGCTCTGTTCTAAGCATCTTATGAGCATTATCTTTTTAAATCTTCATAGTAGCCCTATGAGATAGAGACTATTCACCACTTTATAGACGAGGAAGCAGAGGCACAAAGAGATTAAGTAACTTAACTAAAGCCTCACAGCTAATAAGTACCTAGTCCAGAATCAGACCTAGGCAATCTGATTACCAAACCCATAGACATACCTATATATAAAAATCAAAAAGCTTGTTATGTTCCAGGAGAAGAAAGAAGCGGAGGAGAAGAAAAATTTTCAACATCCAGTCAAAGATAGGCCTTGAGCTTCAAGAAGAAAAAGTACTTAAATTTGCTAAAGAAAGCACTTTCACTTTACACTGGTGTGAAAATGAGGGAGCAAGAAAGGATTGTGACTCCAAGGGTCCAGGGTAGAGGAAGAGCCTGTTAACTAGGAGGATAGTGAAACAGAGAACAGGGCAGAAAGAGGTAACAATGAAGCTTTAAATTGATGGTTTGCCAAACTCAAGAGCATTAGAAAGAGTGCTTGTCATTTGTCCAACATGGATGTAATTTTTAATTTCAATAATTCCTAACACAGTCTTTAAATGGTTGTTGCATGTTGCCATGGGCAGAAGCATATCTCCTCTAGCAGCACAGAGGACCACTCAGCCTTGGAGGGAACAACCTGATAAGGGTCCCAGCCGGAGCTCAGACTCAGCGGCCTCTTTATGAGTCAGTTGGCCAAGGCTCCAGGGGACCGACATCTCTCCCTTTGAACCTATTCCTGGACAACCAAGTACTGAGAAAACACGTGAAACCTTCATTTGGGCAAAGAGATTCACATTTTGTTTTTTTATTTCCAACATTTTCTGATCTTTCACCTGGGATCTACAGAACATTTCTCAATTATGTATCATCTCTTCATGTGGGGAAGGACAAGTATCAGTTTCTCTCTTTATCCTTAATGCCTTAACGCTCCTAACAAAGAATAAGCACTCAGCAAACACTCCTTAAATAAAGCTTTAATTATCAGCCACATTTCCAAATTTTCAGTGGAGCTATCTTCTGATTGCTAATCATCAAGTCCCTCTAATTGTGAGTTATAGTTACAAAGTTTAATCATAGCTATAATTATGAAGTGCTTACTCTACGGTAAGAACTATATAATATACTTTCAAATAATCTTTGTTATCAAATCGGTGGAGTGGGTACAATTGTTATCCTTATATAATGATGAGGAAAATGAACTTTAGGAAAGTGAATTGATTTAACCAAGGACACAAAATAAAATAAATAAAATTTATTTTATTTAAATAAAATAAAAAAGATTCAAAGTCAGACAGTTTGGCTTTAAAGTAACTCTACACCACTCTTTTGTAGAGGATCTGCTGATATTCATAAACTTAATGGCTGGCTACTGTTCATAGTAGACCCTCAGTAAACTGAATGAACAAATCACAGTCCCTGTGTCCAAATTTCTACCCATAACTTACAGGCCTGGGAATGTGTTACCTTGTATCTGTTTATGTCAAAGATCTTACTATTCCTTAGATTTATCCAGTTCTTGTTTTTAGTGTATTCTTATTTGATGAACATTAATAATCAAGAATATAGTATTGGTCTAGGATCACAGAGAGGAAAGGAAACACATTTGGGTAGAAATTTAGCATTTACTGTAAAACACTGCTAGGACTGTTTATTCATTTCTGTCACAGGGAACAGTGGTCATTCGCTTTGCAGAGGAGCATGTCCATCTGCTGAACCTGTGATTCTGGAAGGCCAGGATGGGACTGGTGCTGGATGGAAAGTCATGGGAGGTGCTGTCCTTAAAAAACCCAGGCAAGAGGGTGGAGACTGTTATCAGTAATAGCTGCAATAATGATAGGAGCGGGAACTCATGTGTGGCGGCAGGCTCACTTGCTGCCTGAAATTGGCACCTGCAGCATATTTGGCGTGTGGACTGGGGATTGCCAACCACAGACCTGTAGGATTGCTGTTTACCACTTACTGTAAACGTAGATTATCGTTGTTAATAGGGGCTGTTGAGAGGGGGCAGAAACAAATGAGCGGAGAGCTGGAATGCTGTCGGCTATGTTTTCCCAACCAGCAAGGGGAGTGTCTTATACTTCTTACTTTCTTGACAAACTTTGAATAGCATTGGCTCATTTTGATCTTTAACCTGTGCTTCTCTTTGTTTCTAATTTTTGAAGTTGTGTTGGACCAAAAGTAGAGCTGGATCCTTGAACACAGTGTGATTCAGTCAACAGAGTGCTGGCTTCGATTCAGGACATCCCAGTTCCCCCACTGACTCACTGTGTGACCTTAGAGAAGTTTTTTACTCCTCTGGCCTATAGTTTCCTCATCTATAAAATGAGAAGTTGAGCTAGACAATCTTTGTGGGTTTTTCTTATTTCCTACTTTCTGTCTCTCTGTTAATTTCCTCATATTTCATTGGAATTTGGATGTTGAATTTTTCCAAAGGAATATAGAATGAGTTCGATGCAGAGAAAATGAAATGGATTCTTAAGATAATTGAATATCCTGGGCTCTAAACGTAGTAGGAACACAATAGTAATGGCTGAATTAATAAATGAGTTGAACATTTTAGTGTTCCAGGAAATAGGAATTGTATAAGGCTGGCTGAAACATAAGGTGAAATGCCCACTCTAAGAAAAGTTAAATTTTAGTAGCCTTCTCAGATGTTGTTAAGAGTAATTTCACTGGATAGGTTCTAATTTTTGTCTAATTTTGTATCTCTAAAATAATAATTTTAATATATAGTATTTATTGAGCATTATTAAGTTTCAGGTATTGTGGTGAGATACATGCATTATGCTTTTTTATGGCTGAGCGCCTTTGCTGTCCACCTGAAACATCACAGCATTGTTTGTTTAATTTATTTTTTAACTGAAGGATAATTTCTTTACAGAATTGTGTTGCTTTCTGCCAAGCATCAACAGAAATATGTGCATTATTATCTTGTCTAACCTTCGTAACAGTTCCGAGTTTACTACTTTTATTACGGTCATTTTTAAAAAGAAGAAATGGAGGCACAGGGATGGTAAGAGTTACAGGAAAGTGTATGACACAACCTGAGTTCTAATCTAGGTCAGCCTGACACCACAACCACACCCATAATCACTAAGCCTACTGCCTCCCTGTAGCCTGGACTTCTGGAATCTTTTTCTGCCTACAGTAAAGTAAGACTCAAGAAAATCACCCTGAATATTCTGAAGTTCCATTTTAAGAAAAAAATTAAAATATAGCTAACAGAATTTCAAAATAAATATAATGAGCAAAGTAGTAATATACAAACAAATTGTTTAACTGAGCAAAAATTCCTGGATACAGTAGAGACAAATGAACCACACACAGTAGAACAAGTGAAAACCACTAATGAATATGATGAGAGATGTACAGACTCT